ACTTCCCAAAGTTCCAGAAAACAAAAGGACTTTTGGGAATGAAGTCCGTTTCCGAAGCAACGAACTGCTACTTTTTCCAAATAAATGCACGACCAGCTTGATTCCGAAAGATTTCTTACTCTGCTCAAGTTGCTTGAGCTTTACAAAGTGATTCTCTTGGCCTTTTGCTGTAGGGTACGGGGGTAACTCGACGCCAAGCGTAGCACTTTTACTGTATGTTTTTTTTTCAGCCAGCCAAGTAAGCTGCACATGTGTTATTTCAGTGTCAATCCAGGGCATACATTCATTGGGCTACTTGAATATCCCAATGTACTCAGAATACGGTTTGCTAATTGCCTTTGGGTGATGGTATGAGCACCTACCTACCACCACTCCTTTCGAGACACTAGGGTCGAAGCTGATCGAACCTCACCCCCCCATCAAAGGCAGTTAAAGCTGTCAGAGCCAGTCACCCAATGACGCCTGTTCGAGTGCGTCACTCATCACGGAGAAGACCACAGGAAGAGGCCGAAAGTTCGTTCGGTTAGACTGCTTGTTCCGGCCCTAGGAGCCGAGGAGAAGGAAACAGATACCATGTCGGCGTCCTCTATGAATGGCACAGACAGCCTGAAGTGATGACGGGAGGCTGTGCATCATTCCGCCTCGCTTCCGGTCGTGATCTAGGCAAGGATCTACCATGCCAACCCACGCGACAGGTGGAGAGCTAAACACAACCAGCCATGCAGCGGTGATGCCCCTGCTAGCGCCCAAAAGTGTTATTAATATTGTGGTGGAAGTCCCCGACTTGTTACTACTCTTCACGACACCAGCACCCAGGTCTCCGAAAATGCTGGTCAGATCGTTTCCGAAAACTCCGCAGCACAGGGGGGTTAAGAAGTGCATTGCCTGTCGTTGCAAAGAACAGCTATAATATTACGTGCAATCGCAGGGGCCGATAGCGTCTGCTCAATCTGGATGGCATCCATGAGCAATTTACGTCGCCGGACAGTCGATGCCAGGGAACTGCGCCGAAGATCCCAGAGCTGTTAAATTGCGTTGTATTTGATGTGTGTACAGCGTTGTTCCTCGACCAGTGGTTTGACCTGTAAGATACTGTCGCCTCTTCCCAGGTAGCAAGTTGTGGTTCGCCGAATGGGTGTCGGTTATCGAAGTTTGGTACTCTCCCACCCATCTTGTCATTTTGCAGCCATTCGCAGTGTAATACGGTCGTGAAACTGACCGGTTTAGTGAACGGGACTTTTGGGCGCTGCAACTGCCACAAACAATACAACATCCCAATCAGGCGGCAGAATGTGACCTCGCGATCGACCCTGCAGTGATCTGTGGCGATCCATGTCCGACAGTTGTTGGCGCCCCGCGGACCATGGTGCAGCATCATCGTCAGTTTACACACCGCAACCCGTCCCTTGTCCCAAGCCCTCAAACACAGGCGACTGCGAGATATTCTGCCAAAAATTCTGTAAGGGGAAAAAAAGTTGCCGCATCAGCATCGATATGTGAAATACTGCATCCCCTTTGCCGACCCGCTGTGAAAAATTTATATCTCCACAGCCCGACAAGCGCATATCCTGGGATCTTCAACCGGCAGCTCGGTTCGGCAACAGGCTGATGCGATAAACTCTTCCGGGTGACATTTATGTATCATGTCTCCTAAAAGCACACCAGACGCCAACCCAACTCCTCCGTAACTTGGGATTGTAGATAATGGCATGCTTCAGTTCTGCCGCCGCTGACAAGCATCAGACTAGGATCACACTCCAGGACTGACACCGGAGAGGGCAGCTTCCATGTCAGTTTCTGAACTCCTTATCGTCATTCCAGCCGCGCCCAGTATAATGCTTTCTGGTGGGCTAACTGGTCCTCATTTACACACAGTATCGCTATTCAAACAGCACAGCATGCACTGCTGTCACTCATCAGGAGACATGCTGCCGGGTTGATGTTGGCACCCATCTCGATCTCGAACCATGCGTTCGAGATCGAACACCTCTTCACAATCCCTTTAGCAGTCAATGACAGGTGCATGCGCCAACTACTCCCCTACCTCTAATCAAAGTGCGCCGAGCGTAACTACAACTAACTGTAGATACTTTCCAATACGAAACGCAGAGATGGATGTGCCATGGGATTTAAAGCAAGATTCACGCCGTGGAATATGCAAAAAATTTTTTGCTCTGACCTGTTTCATATTGCAGAAGCATGTCTAGCCATGCCATGGACTACATGGTCCAATATTCAAGAAGTAAATGACACACAACCGCTCGATATTGGTAATTTCAACTTGACCTCTCTTCAAGCAGTACCTTGTGGAATCTTCAAAAGTACCTAGGTAGTTGGACCTCGATGAGATCAAGATGCCCACAATGGTACGAATGTCACCATAGCAAATGAACCTCCTCGAGCAAGTTTCATTTCTCACGTCTGCTTGCTTCCTGGATTGAATACATCGCTAGTCACACACACGGTCGTTTTCTCTGTACAAAGCGACCACTGATTATTACTACGCGATTTTCCTGGTTCTGTTGAGGCGATTCCCAGGAATCTGGTCAGCAGCCTGTAAAATAACCACAGCAAGGGGGTAGGGCCTGGCAAATAAGAACAGGCGCGTCCTGTGTGAAGATGCCACTACCATGAGACTTGCATCGGTTGGGTCGATCTTCCCTGACAAACCAATAAAGAAAAACGCAGGTCGGACCTGGCGGCCTGTTACTTGTGCACTGGTCGAACTGGCGCGCTTGAACTCGATACTTGGAAAGTTGGGTCGTCAGCTTCGTCACGGACTCGCGGCCGCATGGAATTTTCCAAGCAAGTCCCTACAATGACTTGCGAGGCTTCAAGACTAAGCTTTCCAAAAAGAAAAAGAAAAACACGGTCTCTTAAAGCTGCTCTGGAAATTAACCAACACCCAATACGCAAGGCCTACGAACCCTGGTGGAACTTGATCGGCATGGACCGCATCTCAAGGCAACAGGACACCCACCTTACGACGTTGCTTTTTGCTCCCCCACTGGCCACGTTCACTCCACTCCAGAAAATCTGCTTGTGCAGCATGAACCATGAATGATTCGCTACGGAACGAAGCGCCCGTCAGAGTGCTGCCGGTCCAGACCAGGATTCGGCATCCACAGCACCGCGGGATTGACCGTATTAAGAGCCCTGCAGCAGACGCAGAAGCAGACGCAGCCGGGGTCCTGAAAATCACTTTTGGGCGCAGGCCTGAAATATCACATGGCAGCCGCCCGGGAAAATTTCCCCTTCGAGTTGCTGCAAGATAACTATGTATGCCGCGCCACATGCCCTATCAGTCAAGCTTGTGTTGGAATACTAAAGCGCGGGCAACTGTGGCGTCGTGCATGTCATCCCGGTCCCGCTGGCTAGTACCGGCTTGACATGAAAAGGCCATACGTGTTTCGAGGCAAAAGGCGATTGGTGAAGCAGAAGTGCTTGTGCGCTTGCAGCAGCGCTTCGAAGACGCACAGATATATCAAAGTTGTGGGGGAAGCTGACTTCTTGAGCTAAACCAACTTGAGCTTAAATATGCAACAAAAAAGCTTGGTTGAGACACCACCCCCTTTTGACAGCGTCTGGGTGATGCCCTTTAGAGCATTTCCTGCAGGAGGATTCTCAAGGCGATCTTTCATGATGCTGTTGGTGCTCGTCATTGCAAATGACTCGGAGTTTGGGCCGGGCGAAGTTTGGAAACTTTGAGACTGTTGTCTCAGAACGAATGTGGCCACTGAATGCTTGAAAAGTGCTACCGCCGCTCTTAGTAACACCAACTTTCGGGGAATGGGCAAATGTTTTGAAAAGATCGCTTTTCAAGCTTCGAGTCAGAGTTTAGACACTGTCGCATTATGGATGCAGAATCGGGAGATTTACTCCGCAAGGCCGCAAAGCCGCAAGGCGCATCCGCCCCGGATCTTGCCAAACGGAATGGTGCCTTGCTTAAGTGCGCGATAGGTTGACCGCATAAGGTGAGGATCCCCTCAATATTGCCTCGAACAGCCCTCAAATGCCGTTAAATAGAGTTCCGGCAACTACAGACCCCCGTCGCCCGTGTGCGGTGGGATACAGGCTCCATCAGATCAGATTCGAAGAATCAAATAACACTGACAAGTGTCATATCAAACACTTGGCCGTGAAGTCTTTGGTACGGGATAGTGCGTTGGGTCTGATTGATAGGTGGTTTCTGAGCAATGAGCATTCTTACTGTTAGACGTCCTGTATATTGTTAACATGTCAATGGGATGAGCTGAAGCTATGGCGACCCATTTGCAAGCTTAAATGTAGAAAGGCAGTAGGGAATTAATACTTTGGGAGCTCTTGTCGAATGATAGACATGTTTTACTAGGTTTGTAAGTTAACCAGCCAGGCTCTCAGGACTGGTGTAATAATCGACGACCTCGATATTGAATATCCTTGAAAGCTGAGAGATAAACAACGGGACAGGACTTTTTTGTAAAGGAGTTGACTTGTTGTAGCAAGGAGTCCTTAATTCTCCTAGTATGCTTGCTTTCTAGTCGTCATCAGATTGGTTATCAAAAGCTGAATGTTGTTTTCACAAGGGGCAGGGGCGCTTGGGCTTAAATAAACATTCCAATCCACTAGCATTGTAGCTGAGATAAAAAAAAGGGAAATAAAAAGAGGAAACTCACCGCCGTCTTTATGCTTGACATGGCAGGAGAAATCAACCTGTTCCCATAAGAAGTCGAAGCTGATATTCATCCGACCAAGATGCTAGCGGTAGGTGCCCGCCAACCAGAAACGTTGGAAAAAGAAAAGTGCGCCTTGGCTGCCTGTTTCAGTCTAGCGCCAATTCTTCCGTCAATACCTCAGAGTCGGTCGTGAAAAACGCCCTGCCAGATCAGCCGTGAAACCCGAAACGCAAAGAGAAGGCTTCCCAGCCTTCGAATCGCTATGCATGCTGCACAAATGGGCCGACAGGCTCAGCCGACTTGGAATTACCAGAAACAGCAAAACCGCCAGGGCTAATCGCAGCCATGGACCCGACCAACCCGCCGAAGAAGCCCTGTAACAACTGTCGGCGACAACGGCTCCGGTGTGACCGTTCATACCCGCACTGCAACAAATGTACTGCCGCTGGAAAGGAATGTCTTGGATATGGAAAACTGTTTCGCTGGACGGGCGCTGTCGCAAGCCGCGGCAAGCTTGCTGGGAGGACGTCGAGTGCTCCTGTAGACGCAGCTGTAAAGACTGCGGCTCGAGCAACAAGAGTGGCCGGAACGAAGGCTGATGATTTCTTCACGTCGAGCAACTCGCCTCCTGCTTTGTGTAGCGATGCAGGGACTTCAGTGGAGATGTCCATGGCAGAATATGAGGGTGATGTGCAACTGGTTTTAAGATCACCATCGCCAGAGACTGTTGTTACCAGTCCATGGGCTCTGGCAGATCCTCTGTATCAGGATATGGAGTATTCTCATCGGTATTACCTGTCGTATTGTGAGTTTGAACATGTCTACATATGTTGACGGATGATGGTCGGGTTGGCTAATTCGTTCCACCCGGGAAAGTTACGAATCGAGTCTGTAAAGATCTTGTATCTCAAGACATTCCGGAACGCAACCCGTTCCGTGGATTGCTTCCATTGACTAGGGCTCACCCACTCTTGCAGCACATTCTAGTCGCTGCGTCAGCGGCACACATGTCGAATTTGGTTCGTGCTCCGCTGGCGTATCACCTGAAGGAGGTAGACGACAGGATTACTGCGGGCATTGAACAAGTATCGCGTCGTGCACTACAGGATGCGCTGGTCGCTAAATCCAAGGCTTTAACCCTGATGCGCGGTGCGGTGGAAAACATCAACACAACTAGAGGCGATGTTGTGCTTGCTGCCGCTCTTTTCTTCATCAACGTCGAGTTGATTGAGTCGGGGAAACACGGCTGGAAAGCTCACCTTGAGGGGGCTGGGAGAATTATGTCCTTGTTACAACCTGATACTGTGGCGGATACTGCGTTACGAGACTACATACTGTCCGATTGCTTCATGTAAGTTGGCAAAATAAAATACGCCGCTGCCGCTTCGATTTGTCCGATTGACGATTTAAAAGCTACTTCATCCTGGCCTCTGCATTCATGCCTGCGGCCTCGTTCGACACCCAATCCTACTTCCAGCCATCTCAAATTCCTTACATACTTCAAAAAGCAGCAGCCAACAGCTACCTCTGCTGTCCTCCTGAAATTCTCACCATTCTACATTCGGCTTCCCAATTATCCAACGTGTCTCCCGACATCGCTTCCGAAGAAGACGTCAGGGCAGCAGGTCTAGCCCTCATTCAGCAAGCTCAAGCCTTTGACATCGATGGGTGGGCCAACGATGTTCGAAATATGTCTTATCTACAGGATGCACTGATTCAAAGCAGAATCCACGCAGGGTCAGCTCACCGCCTTGCAGCATGTCTATATATTTTGCAGGCGATTCCATCTATGAGCAAAATTAAGGATCACGATGACGTGGCCGAGGCTCTGAGTCGTGACATATTTAAGCATCTGTCCAGCATTCCTGACAACGATCCAAACTTCAAGGCTACGACTTGGCCGACTTTTATTGCAGGAGCTGAAGCTGGCGATCACGATAGGAGGGAATGGGTCATGGACAGATTGCAACGACTTGTCAGATCTTGCCCCTGGGGTTTTATATACACCGCCATGGAGACGTTGCAAGTCATTTGGGACCTGGACAAAAAGGGTCAAGGGACCAAGAGCTGGGTTCAGACGTTAAAGGACCCACAGATGAACTTCCTTATGGTATGAAAGCACTGCAATGTGATATTGGCAAAAACGGGGTTGAGATTCTATGAAAGTCATGGCATCCTTATGGGCGAAACATACATCATCGTCTTATTCTAGGCCGAGGTCAGTCAGCCCCGCCTTGCTTTCAGGCGGCCGCCGGCTGACTCATCGCACCAGCAGGACTTGGCTAGCGACATCTCAATGTCGAATATTTTGCTGTTGGATAAAGCAAAAATCAGAGAATGTCCAAGACATCTGGGGCATTAACATGGGGCAGATAATATTAGACTGCATATTACCAAGCTCGCAACAAGTGCGTTGTCTCGACCGCTTTAGCATCATGGATGATGACGCCGAGGGCGAAGATGGCCTGGTGCCGTTTTGGCTTCTCTTACAAAATATCTTGTCCGAAAAGCGAAATTCTCCGTCGGGTATTCTTGAAGTGCTGGATACAATATGGCTGAATATCGTGCAGACTGTATTGGAACTACCCAAACACTTCCCGCGCGGAAACATTAAATCTCCTAACCCCGGTGATTGCTTGCGTTTATCCGGAACGTTTCTCTGCACGTTATCCGCGCCGTCGTGGTGTGATGGCTTTTATGACTTCATTGTTTGGTACAGCTCATCGCAGCGACATCCAAAAGCCGTGAAAATGTATATCACAGCGCTATTCGTCTATTTTGAAAGGCTGCATACTCTCGACGCCATCTCGGACTCTCAGCAGATCGAGTACTCGCTCCATGCTCTCGGCAGCGATAATATCCCCACGACGAAACCATGGAACGAGATTCCACTCCGTCAAGCAGCTGTTGTCAACGTACCAAATTATAGTACTCTGCAGCAAGAGTTTGCTTGTCAAGGATCCAACGGAGCTGTCGTCGTATCCGCCAACAAGGACATTGGCTTCGGACAATCCGCCACCCAGGAAGAGATCTACGTTGGCAACTGTCCAGAAGCATGTCCAGCTATTCTAGTCACCCCGACTCTGGCCCCCCCCCCCAAGTCCTGGTCATTACCGGTGCTAGATCAATCCTTCGCATTGTTGGGCAACGTCGCGCGATCTCATGGTCCATTCTCGAACCACCTCCCAAGGGAGGACGAATGCTCTTCAAGGACGTCCTGGAGATGGATGATATTGATGAAAACGACGGATTACTCCCTGATCTGAAGCCGAAGAACCCCAAGCGGGAGAATCTTAAAGCGTACACGGCCTTTTCTGCATGGGAGTCAGGTGAGGGTGCGACGGTATGGAGCGGTATATCGGGCTGTGGAGTATTCAATGGTGATCCGGGTGTGAAGATGTGCAGCTTGTGGATAGCAGCTTCTTTGGCTGGGAAGGAGCTGCGGATTCTTTGCGACCCGTCGCAAGGCGAATTTTCGACGTCGTTTGAGAGGGTTATCTGCCAGTTTGGTCGGGGCTCGACAGTCGCGGAGTTGAAAAATCGGCTTGATAGCATTCCGAAGTGGACAACCCGTCTTGAGACGGTGAAGTTTTGAAACGAGGATAAGTCTTGATATTACTTGTACTAGACAGTGGTGAACATGATGTATTATTTTAAAGTGACTCGTCACTTTCTGAATGCTTGCGAGGGATCTCTTAATTACGTGCTCAGCCGTTCTGCGACTCGCCTGTATCCAGCTGGCAGACATTAGTGATTGGATGGGTCTGAGGCGTTATACCGCATCGCACCGCCTTGTAAATTTCATATTGTGATACACTCTGCTTTTATTAACTCAGCCGTGATGGAGGAAAGCGCATCGATGCCCACGCCGACAAATTGGACAGAAAATGGCTTATTACGATGCAATGAGATCAATAACGGAACCATGCTGAGAATGCTCGACATGACCACTGCCATAAATTATAAATGCACGCAAACTACAAGACTTGCGGCGCATATACCGAGTATTACTGTCCAACTTCATGCCTAGCCTACTTGATTATGCTCTAGACAAGATCTATACCCTGACAAGAGAGTCTATTGCTGCGCAAGTTCTATTTGACGATACCCGTACCCATGATCAGAATGACAATACATCAGGGAGGGTCGGAACTCGGAATACGCAGGGTACGGAATACCAAGTATCATAGCTGTCGCTTGAAATAGACCTACCGGCTTCAAACTTGGAAGCGGTCTCGAAGTCGGTATTGGCGGCGGTGCGCCTGGCACGGAGCCGAGCGACTTCAGCTCCGAAGCCTGCCAGATGAAGCCAAACTTGGGAAGGGAATACAAACGCCCGGATGAAGACACTGATATACTATGTCGCATCGAAATCGTGCATCAAGACGACCAGAGAGGTTGCGTCGAGGCATGCGGACGTAAGAGTTGATGGCGGATTATGGAGTAGGCTGACGCTTGTTGACTATAGTAGTCGGCGAACTTTTCCACAAGTGCGCTAAAAGGTTTAAAAATATTAAAGCGTTATACAAGGTTTGGGTGGGTGTTGGTGTGGCTTTGGCTTGATCTAAGGTTAACAAATGATGTGGTCAGAGCATGCCAAATTGTTTGCTGCTTCGGAGGGAAGTGAAGGCACAAGCCCATCGGCTCGACAACTATTGGTTGGCAGCTGGCGTGACCACGAGGCCGTTGCTTAGACTCTTTTCAGGCATGTTTCTGAAGGAATTGTTGGAAGCGAGTTTGGTTATTGTACTTCTTTCGGTGTCGCGGGAACAATTGTTGACCAGTTGGAGAATACATACCTAGTACATAATTGAGACCCCTCAACGTCGAAGACGTCGGTCAATTGGGTGTCCGTGGCTCCCCCACGTGGCTGAATGTACTTGACGCTTACGTAAAGCACCAAGGTATCGCCCCAGCCTGTCTGGCCTGTCAGCCGAGTGAGAGCTGATGCTGGGGTCCCAGACCCGCCAGGCACGCTAATGCCTGCCACTTCCCGATGTTGTCATCTGGTCTTATCGATAGACCCCAACATTTACTTCCATCAGCTATACCACCTGAGCTCTGACCATTTCCCATCTCAACATCCTCGCTTGACAGTGGCTTGCTCGGGAACATCATCGACATGTCCCAGCCAAAGTATACGGTGTTTGTGAGGGTGCCCATACCCAGGGGAGACTTTATTGATCCTCCTCCCGTAAGTTCGAAGAGTAGAGTGCCACCACTGGCCGCCTCTTGCAACAGCTCCTAACCTGTGCTCTAGGTCCACTGGGATTCGTCCAAAGACGAGGCTTTATGGAAGATTCTGTCTGGTGCAACGCAAACCGAGATTGATTGTGCGTTGCCTCTTCCCATACACTCCCAATTTGGCAAGTGATGTGACGCTGACCTTAACCTTGCGCAGGGAGTCAAGTGCATGTTTGATCATCTAATACCCCCGCAACGGCTATTCTGACCATGATGTAGTGCTGAACGATTCGATGTCCCCGTCGATTTTCTCCTTAAACAAGTCGCGTACTTGACTGAAAGACATGCGTCGCAGGTTCGAGCCCAAGTCCGAAAGGCTACGGCCGCAGCGAAAGGCTCAGCTGCCCCATCTCCCATCCCTGGTGCAGAACCGACTGGGTCATCCCATCAGCGCGCTGCATCTGCCCTTTCAGGACGACGAGACTCACCGATGCCGCGACCTGATGGTGCACTGAGTGGAACGCCGCTTTCAATACCAATACGCCCGAATATGAGTCGTGATACGTCCGCCAACACGACGATTCTGAAGGATGTCGCTAGTTCGTCTTCCCCGCGCCATGGTACGTCGTTCCCGGCCAGAGCGGCCGACCAGGCAGGCAGGAAGAGACTATCATCACTACCGATATCGTCAACTACAGCAAAATCTCCTGAACCGCAGACAAACCATCGCCGCAATGAAACGGTTTCGCCGGGACCTGCTGAATCCAGCTCCAATGAATCGTCTGACGAAGAATCCAGCCCCGCACAGTCTCGAATTATCCGTCGACCACCACGGTTTCAACAACAACAGGAAGCTGCTGAAACGTATCCTGATGATGGAGATGATGAATTGGAGCCTGCGTTTCAACCGTTCCAGGCTTTAGATCAGCCAGGTCAAGACCTGGCTTCTACAGTGAGGGGGGATGGACGGGCTTCTGGTCGACGAAACCAGAAGAATCCCATGCGGGAGTACATTCACCAATCTCAAATGTCTGATGATTCGTCGACAGGCTCGCCTACTGCGATACCAAAGCCAAAATCGAAGGAATCCAAGATACCTGGACCACTCTCTCCACGGCGAGCTGCTGAGCTGGCAGGACGCAGTCCTAGCGGCAAGGGAAAGGCGAATTCTCGCGAGGGTAGTGACGGGACTCCCAGCATGGGAAGTAGTTTTAGTGATCTGGATGGTAAGTATAATACGACGCAGGCGGGCCTGGAGTCCAGTTTACACTAACAACATATAGACGCATCAGTAACCCAGTCCGCTCTTGAGGAAGCTCTTGCAAGTCACATGAATCGAGGCGCCAGTAGCCGGTTTAGTATCAGTCAGGCGTTCAGAAGTCGATATATGCAAGGTTGAGGTTAACTTTTCAATTATAAATGGAGGGGAAACGGGCTGGCGTTTTGGATGGAATTATGTACAATGGAGCCAGGCGTTTGGGCGGCTATCCTCTTTCAATATTCTGCGAAATATTTGTCCTGCTCTCATCGTGGCGGGATGAAGTTCCGAAGAAGTAATGACTGACTTCGGTTTCAAATTATGCGATGCCTATTGTAATTCGAAAGCACAGAGGTTGAAAAAATCGATCAATTGGTGACTAGAGACGTAAACGCCGGGAATTGCGGGTGTTTGCCAATGTTGTGATGGGGTTTGAACCGTTTGCACCTGTCGGACAGCTGGCAGCGCTTGTGCCCTGTTTGCCACGTTGATGGCTCCGCATCTCGAACCTCCCTTTTATTTCTATGTTCCTCGTGTTGACAAGTTGTGAACTTTCAAAACAACATCTGTCCAGGTCTCTTCAAAACAATCGCCGTCATGTTTCGCCGGCATTGGTCTGGTCTTCCCAAAGATGCGGCCTTTCCATCTGATCTGAAAGGCTTGGGGTCTGTTTCGACCACCCCGAACTATCACGGTACCCAAGCTAATAAAAGCAGATACTTTGTCAACGATGACGATGAAATACGATCCGTCAAGAGCCCAGAACAGTATTTTAAATTCTTCATCAACAAGAATTCGCGAATAAACCAGCGTCAGAGATTCGAATTTGATAGTACGTTTCATATTTCATTCGAGAAAAAGGACTGCACTTAAGATTTGGTGATTAGATGCCTTGGAAGACATAATTCATAAGCGTCTCGTTGCTGAAGGACTAGAAAAGATTGCTTTACCACTAGGAAGCATGACTTCGGGAAAGCACGTACCTGTGTTTGCGACGCCCGACTTGCCTTCTAAATCTCGGATTATTGTATTCTTCGGCGAGCCTACCAAAGCCTTGGGCATGCTGGCCGGCCGAGTCGCCAATGGGCCCGGTGGTATTAACAAAGGCTCATTGGTTTCCGTCGTTCAAGAGCTTCAAAAACAAGTCACCTCCAATAAAGATTCGTCGCCGCCTGGCGTGTTCATTGCTAATCCTGGCCAGCTGTATTGGTGGCCCGAGGGTCGCCGCATGCTTACCACGACGGACAGCACGGCGATCCCGTTGCCGAGCCTTGTTCATGCTGGAAGGCGACATATTCCCGGCATCAACACCGTGGTTGCACATGAAGCGCCAGAAAAGCATGTCAAGTCTGTTTTCAGCACGTTGCTCGAGGTGGTGGGCGAATGCACCAAGGTCCATCTGATTGCCATTGGGCAGAGCTGCGAACTGGTGACCAAGTTCTTGGACGACAAGACAAACTGGCACGCTTGGAAGGATCGTCTCGATGCTATGCTTCTCATGGGAACGGTCTACCCAGCGGACGATTTGGCCAACCAAGCGCTTCGAGACTTCATGGCAAAGGTAAGCCGTATGGCACCACTTCTCACAGGTAGTTACTGATAAATTCTAGCGCACCCGCGCGTACATCGTTTCTGCGGAGCCCCTGGATGCTCCTCTTGCACCCCCTTCTGGAAATAAGGAGGAACAAATCCCAGCTTTTGGGTGTCCGTGTTATTCTTCCTCGGAGCCCTTCTACGCTGAGATGGTTCTCATACGTGCTCTCAAACCAGCCCTTCAGTATCTGGAAAACGTAGCCCTGGCCCCGGGGTATGAAAATGACGATACTCTAGTAGCAGCAAAGCCTAAGCAAGAGTTTACTGATGAGGACTGGGAGAAGCTACCCGACTCGGAAAAGCCGCTTATCGGGGTTGTGGATGAGGACCATATGAAGCAAGAGGTGAAGAATCAGAAGCGCTGGAGAAAGTTCCTGGAGACCGGAGAAGCTTGTGACACTGATTCGTCTGACGATGAAGAGACGTGATGTTCTAAGAAACGGCATAAAGAACTCACCGAGCCAGGCACATGGGGAGTTGTGTTTATTTGCAAGATCGATGCAGGGTACAAAAAAGGGTATTTTCAAATTATTTGCTTCATACTAATATACAAATCCTCGAGAAACCATACATCATGCCTTGAAATAAGACCAAAATCCCATCCCAGGTGGAGTTACATCTTCCATTAATTCTCGCGTCCTCCTGATGCGCTCTTCAACAACAGCCTCTTCCGCTGCCCATCGGCCCTCGGCATCCTGAGACGCACCCCAGAAAGAAAACAGGTTAGACTTTGCGTCACTGCTCCGAGCCTCCTCTGCCTTTGCTAGGCGGGATACCATTGTGGTCCAGTTATCTAGCCCTGTGCCCAGACACTCACGACATATCTGCTTCGTCTCTTTATCCTTGCTTGCTGATCCCAGCGCGCGCAATTGTTCTTCTGCCAAATCAACACCGTCCCTAGTCCACGCCAACCCCTCATCTTCTGATGAAGTGGCATACAAGATCTCGCCAATATACAAGTTAAGAGATGCTTCCTGGCACCGCTCATAGGGAGTTCTCCACGGCGGTTGGGTGCCATCTGGTCCCGGGGCTGGATAGGCAGGAGGACCGAAGAACCTCACAAATCGTTCGTATGGAGAGAGCATCTTGGGCTGTGCCCGAATCGCGGGTGGCGGGGTGTCTGATAGAGAGCGGCGCGCTTTGAGAAGAGAAATGTAGATGGGGAGAGCAGATGAAATATCCCCCCGTCGGGCTTTGTAGTTGGCAATGGCTGTCAACGTATCGAGAACGTTCATCGACGGCGCTGGAGCATTGCTTTCTACGATGAGCGTTTTGGGGTCGTATGGTAGCTTGGACGGGTCGAGTCCGGCGGATGCCTCGGCTAGGGCGAGACTATACAGCGCCTCCGAGCCTTCCTGTCTGTGTTTGAATTCCATGAAGGTGGCGTACTCGAGTGCCGCCTCCATCTTTTGGCGAGGCGACAGTCCGGTTGTCGCCAGGATCTTGACGTACCAATTGTCTGCGGCTGGGTACGCAGGTTCGCAATCCTCCTCCCTTGGTGCGTGCGGTCGTCCTGGCGGTATAGGTTTCGGCCGTGGATTCGAGGGACCAATGACAAACTCGGGCGCGCTCACCACGTTGCGTGTTGTGTCCCTCAGCCATCCGTCGACGTGTTCTGCGGCCTTGGCCGCCAACATGATCGCCTCGAAGTAGCCGCGTCTCCATTCTTCCGACTTGGCTGAGATGTCGCAGCTGATGAACTCCCCTGGGACCTCGAGGCTCGGGTCGACTTTGTCGCTTAATTTAACTACATTCTCGCCGCCGAGTTTGGGGTCCTCTAGCCGAATGACCACTCCCCGGGCCAGCTCCAGACATCGCGCCCAATTGACTTCGCCATCCTTGGGATCCCGGCAGCTTTGCGCGTCGCGGAGAAATTTCCTCGTCAAGTAGTGCCATTCGTGGGGCGTGGGGAACTCCCGTTCTGATGATTCCTCATTGACTGCAAAGAAGATCAAGATGCCGCAGATCGCGAGGCCCCAGACTGTGATGGTGTATCTGACGACCAGCTTTGCTTCGTGTTTAAGCCATCTTTTGCGCTCGGAGGTAAATGATCGGGCGATGGAGGGACTCGCTTTCGGGACAAGGAGGAAAGGCAGGCTTGGTCGGGATTTTGTGGATGTGAATTTAGTTTGGCTTGCGAAGGATCGTGTGCAGATTAATCGTGGATTTGATGAGAAGAGGACGGCCTGTTGCCGGCGCATGATGAGCCTGGCACGCATGACTGATGGTGTGGCCCAGCGGGCGCCGTTTCGAATGAAGATGTTGCCAGTCGTCTTGATATTCTAATGAATTGAAGTAACTAGAGCTAAGCAGACGGACGACCCGCGGCCAATGATGGTTGTCGCCTATCAAAAGTGGAGGGTGACTAAGCAAAATTTCATCATCAAAGCGGAACCTCAAAAGTCGATTCATGACCAAATACTCAACAACGACGGCCAATCAGGCGAATCGGCTGTTTGGGATGGTGACTTCTGGTATGTGAAAGAAAATATGGCTTCTTTCTTTTCAGATACCCTTTCAAGCCACCGGTTTCATCTTTTTGCGACAGCTGTGCTGTCGGGCGCAACCGTTGCACTCATTCTAGGATATCAGGGCCGGGAGCGAGAGCAAAGACTTTCTGAGCTCAAGAGATCTATACCCTCTCCGGGAGATGGCGTTCATCATACGAATCAATTGAACGATTTTGGAGCGTCTTCAGAGTCAGCAGTCGATAAGGAAGATGCTCGCAACCAGGCTCTCAGCAGAAGGGCATTAGCCGGAGATTTCGATGAGGAACTCATTCTCGAACAGCTCGCTCGGAACAGGGTCTTTCTCACTCCTAAGGGGCTCGCGAAATTGCGCGACTCATTTGTCATCGTAGTTGGCTGCGGTGGTGTCGGATCGCATTGCGCTGCGTCACTTGCGCGCTCCGGCGTGAGCAAGATCCGGCTTGTTGATTTTGATCAAGTCACGCTGAGCTCCCTGAACAGACATGCTGTTGCTACATTGGCGGATGTTGGTATTCCAAAGGTTCACTGTCTTCAGCGGCGACTGATTGCTATCGCACCGTGGGTCAAGTTTGATCTACAGCAAGAAAAGTTCGATGGGTCTGTAGCATCGCGGATGCTAGGGGCTTGGGGAGATGGACGACAGCCCGACTTCATCATTGATGCTATCGATAACATTGATACCAAAGTCGAGTTGCTGAAATACTGTTACGACCACAAGCTGCCAGTGATCAGCGCAATGGGAGCTGGTTGCAAGAGTGATCCCACTAGGATTATCATTGGCGACATTGGTGCAAGTCGCGATGATGGCCTATCGCGGGCAACAAGACGACGTCTTAAACTACTCGGCATCACCAGCGGCATCCCCGCGGTATATTCAACAGAGCAATCCGGAGAAGGCAAGGCAGAGTTGCTTCCCCTCCCCGAGGAAGAGTTTCAAAAAGGGGTGGGTGATCTCAGCGTGATGCCCAACTTCAGGGTCAGAATACTACCCGTGCTAGGAACTATGCCTGCTATTTTTGGGCTCACAGCGGCAAATCATGTCATTCTCAGCATTACGGGCTATCCACTAAATTATGTCCCAGCCAAGGGACGAGAGAAAATGTACGAAGGAATGATGACCTATGTCCAAGGCTCCGAGGACAGACTTGCACGAATGTTGGGCTTAGATACAGTCGGCCTGAAGACCCCTCTCACCTCTGGTGACGTGGCCTTTCTTGCAGAAGAGCTGTATCATGGACGCAGCGCTGTCAGTGGCATATCGACAAAACTGGTTCTGACTCGTTGGCAGCGACCAGAGGACACAAACATGAGTGTCATCGGAGAGGGTAAGGACATCCAAAAATGCTCCACCGTGCGACTACGAGATCTTGTATGTATGACCAAAGAGGAGGCAACTAGACATGAAAAGGAGATCTTCAAGGCCAGGAAAGCTCTTGGCGAAGTGTATGATCAGGAAACGATCGACCGGATCGAGGCAAAACTGGCGGTGGCTGCCAAGTATGAATCGTATAGATAGATCTGGTTGAAACCAAAATTTACAATGAACGAGCCAGATATATAGTCAGAATGCATGCGCACTGAGTATCGGATGTGAACGTCGGCTCCGGTACACTAGTGGTCCGCCTGGTCAGCTTGTGACATGTGTTGCACATACACAAGCACAAAAAGATGCCTCCTCGGGATGTTGTGCGATTTCACGGCTGCTACCGTCGTTAACACAGCAAATCGAGTAGAAGATTCACCATTTGTGTTCTCTGCAGGTTGCCCAATCTAGATGCCCAAAAATGCAGAACTAAGACTTGCGGAAAAAGCGCTTGGTTGCAGGGCGAATAAGCGGGAGACGAGACGCCAACTCGCTTTTTGCGGTGAGACGTGGACGGGAACCGACACGGATTTTATCTAGGGGCCATTTTCGGCCCTTTGCCTTTCTCGTGTAATTCGTGTACGGATAACGCCATGATATAGTTAGTATTTTCTTCTTCTGCGAAGCTGCGCAGGTATTTGTGCGCAGGCGGTGATGGTCTGAGATCTGTCCAATCGGCAGCCTTGGATATGCACACTTGTTGATTTGACCAATCCGAGGCTATCATTGACCAGGTCTACATAGATCTTAGCAAATAACTTCACCATTTGGTAACTCAGCCCGACTCAACATGGCTCTCGGCAAAGGAAACTCACCGCCCTGCGCACGACGTCGAGCAGAGACATTTTTTATGCAATCCGGGCTGTCGACATGACTATCTTCAATGCAAATGTCATACCCATGCATTCAGTAGGCCGAAAATAGTACCAGATGCAAGCTTCTAGCAGCTAAATCCCCGATCGACCTGAATCGATCCCCAACTGAGACTGGCGGGATTGACCTGTTCTCCAATGTCCATGGCCCCTGACATGCTTTCGGAAGCCGGTCGATGCGGTCAAACATGGAAGGTGCCGAATACGGCACTCGGGTGGTAATCCGTGGGTTGCCCGTGGCGAAACATTGAAGGCGACATCAGCATGACCCGTGGCGAGTACTGAGTAAGCCATAGTCATGGATTATTGCTCGTTTGCACATAAACGAACCAGGGTTTTGTCCATGGACGCCCGCTGGTGAGTGTCGAGAGGCAACGAGGCGGTGGGCAAGAAAGTCTGGTGAGGGCAGAAGCAGGGCGAGACGATTGATATTAACGGAAGGATTGGAAGAGCCCCCAATCATGAATGCGGATGGTGCTTCCCCAGAGCTCAGAGAGTCTGGTGGCGCGAACTCGTGACTAAAGGCAGCGTCCTGGCTCGCAAGCTGGAGAGGCAAACAGACCCCGAAAAGCTCATATGACGACAGGCAACGTGTGGTGCTCATCCATGTGCTTTAGAGAGGTCAGCAAGTGTTTCACAAGATGCAGAGGTCAAATCCTGAACCAGACAAGTCTGTTGGGAAATGAAGCGATTGCGGCAGATTTTACGAACCAACGTAATAGTAACTCGATCTACCTGGTTAAGTACCTACCTACCTAGGTAGGTACCTAGGTAGGTACTTAAGTACCGATACCTACCCTAGCGTTTGCCGAGGCTTGGGTGTGACATATCACGGCGACCAATGAGACGGCTCTCGTTGCCCGAAGGAAGGAGCGAAGGCTCGAATTGATGCATCGCACTCAGACGGGATATCTTGACAGTTAGCTCATGCTTGAGCTCATGAGCATTACGGCTTGACGCAAGTCAGATATCTGCCTAGTTGGAACACCGAAAGAGGTGTGGAACGGCAAGAAGGCTCGTGAGCCGTGGAGACGATCTCGAAATGTGCCGGTGTAAGCAAGTTCATAAGCTGTTCAGTACCGAGACAAGTGTCCAGATGGGGACCAAAATGTCAGACTTGGGAGAAACATGTAAGATGAATACGTTCCCTATTGTGTTCAGAAGGCGTTGGCGATGACGCGGCAGGGCCAATTGCGTCTGAATCCCGAACAGCTTGAATATAGGCGCGTAACAAAGACACGATGTTGTTCAAGCAATGTTTCAACTCTAATCCACTCGTGGGTCATTTATCATGGTGAAGGCCTGCATATATAACAGGGCCAGCATGAGACCAAGGCGCCATGGATACGGAGTATGCCCCGTGGTTTGCATGTTAGCCCTGTAGTTGCCTTGTTTTTACGACGCTTAGGCACGCGGCGATCACTGCTTACCAGAATCAAGCAAGGCCGTCGAATGTTGGTTTGGGCTGAACATGCTCTGAACTCTCTCAACACCGAAGACGAAGTCGCTGTGAATGTGGAAACATAGGCGGAGGGGGCTGTGATTATGTGATGGTTTGGATTTTGACATAAAAAGGTGCTACTGCTCCATTCCAAAAGAGCTGGTATTACGAGCTTCTGCCACCACGCGATCCCGTTGCTATGCGACTATCCTTTTTACTTGCACCGCCAGCGTCATTCAACATTCAGAATTCATCAACGTTCTCCTCTCCAAGGGCATCAATACTCTGGTAAGTCATTCGTCAAGCGCATTTTGGTTGGAGCTATCCTGTTGCCTTCTTCGCCTACAAAGAAACGGACATGAAAACCATGGGGGGTGGGGGTAAACAAAGGCTCCGCATCACGTCGGACGAGTCAGAATTTATAAACCATCTTCTTCTCCCACCACGGGAGTCCTTCCAACCCATCATTCTTCTCTAGATGACGGCGAAGCAACGGCGACTTTGCGACGGCGCCAACGAGACTCCATCATGATGAGCAATTTCGCTGACCTTGGTTGCTAGACCCGGAGGCCGACAAGAATTCAGCCATTTGCCACGTTCTTACCACGTCCGAACATCCATTAGGATCCGATCGGCCCCGACATTTCAATCAAACAAAAAAACAAAAGTAGTCCCAATTGATCGCCCATCCATCCAACCCTTCCCTTCCGATAATTGTGCACGACTTGGGCATTTCCATCACCTTGATAGAATTGAGCTGGCTGCGTCACAGCAAAAAGCACCCAGGTACTACCCCGAGTTGAGGCTCTTCTGCCTGCAAGGCAACTTGCGAACCACCCAGGGTCAACTGCTACCAGGTATTTTTGTACAAGGGTGCGATTTCAAGGAGGGTGGGGCACAGTGTTCCCACCATTTAGGCGACCACCTCTTCAGACAATCAGACCCCTCTGGCCTCCAACGAGGCTGTCATTTGCAGCGGCCTGGTCTGTTTGATTTCACACCCTGTGAAAAAAAATAGTACAAGAAGACGTCCAACGGCGCAATCCGAAGCAACTTTTGCTTGCGGCTCAAAGAGCCGCTTCTTTGAAAGCGTGCTGTCATTTGGAATACAGGGCAAACTAGGTGAGGCAGCTCGTACAATATCTACTTTCTATATCCACTATTGTCCATATTTGCTTTTGCTCCATTCGTTCAAAACTGGATTCCTTGTTTCAGCATTCTGTCATGGCCCTTGAAGAGGCTGTGGCTACCAACCGAATCCTTTGAATTTCCCACGCCCTGGGATTGAGCCATGGAGGTCGTTTTCTGTTGAGAGTATGTATATGCTAACCATGTCATGAATGATTCTAGGCCAGAGTTGACTCTACGGCCTTTGAGAGAGCTGCCCCCCCCCCAAAAAAAAAAAAAAATCAAAAATCAAAAATCCCCAACGCCTGTAAGTGCTCGCGCCGCGTCTGCCACAGAAATCTGAACCGGGAGTGGCGGCCCTGCATTGTTACACCGTTGTTACAAGGCTGCTAACAACTACGTAGGCTATACCTCTGTGCCCAGACAGCTCATTGGTTAGCCCAAGAGTCTGCTCATCAGAAGCAACTTCAGTCCTTATGGTCTTAGTACCCCTTACGGTGTGGAATCGGACCCATTGGCGATGGACAGACTCACAAGAAGATGGGTCCAGCATCAACGCAAAGCTGCACGTCGAGAAGCCGCCTTGCGTAGCTACCCGTGCCGTCTCTGCGAGGCCCAAGTACAGCACAGCCTTGATGAAATCAAGGCGCACTATACGTTGAATCATCCCGAATCAGCTGATCCTTCTAATATTGAGGAAGCCTTCAAGAACTGTACGCTCCGTGGCAACGATGCCACCAAGACTCAGTGAGTTCCTCTGCATCTCATTCCGACATATCTGAAACTGATATTAACGGGGCTGTGCGAAATTGTGTAGAAGCTCAGAAGCCAGGCCCTCGGGGGACACCACCAATGCCGGGGCAGTTAACAGAAAAAGACCAGTATCTGGCAACGCGGACCTCACCGACAGGGCTGAAGGTGACTTTGATAGGCTGAATTTGGCAGGGGAAGACTCAGTATCTTCCCGCCGAGGAAGCAAAAAGATATGTTCTCCTCCCGCGTCAATCACCCAGCAACGCGGCTCATCACCACCGACTCCGGGCAGGAGTCGTGTCAGACTCAGTGAGAGAGATGATGACTTTGTTCGCACTAAGAATCCGACTGGTCGTCAACTCTGGACTGCCGATGATGCCCGCAAGGCTAGTTCGCCGCAAAGACCACGGACACCACAGACAAGGCATGGCCAGTTGATGTCCTCTTCCAGTCATCGTCGGTCTCCCCAGCATAAAGGCCAGCGCAATCCAGGACAGCATCACCATGGCCAATCGAGACGGTCTTCCGATGCCGATGCACCGGCATCGGAAATGCTTCTTCAACTAGATACTCGGTCCATATCTTCAGACCAGCTTTCCGCCGAAGTCCAAGGCATCTATACCGGACTGGTTTTACTTGAGAGCAAGTGCATTGAATATGATAGCACACAAAAGGAGACTAATCTAAGTCAAGAGCAATATAAGGCATTGACTTCCCTTCATCGGTCACTTCTCCAGGAGCATCATGACTTTTTATTGGCATCCCAGCATCCATCGGCGAGCGCCGCGCTCCGAAGGCTTGCGTCCAGGTATTTTATGCCTGCAAGAATGTGGCGTCATGGTATACACTCGTTTTTAGAGCTTCTAAGGCGGAAACTGCCTGGCTCGCTTGAGCATATGCTCACCTTCATTTATATCGCGTATAGCATGATGGCATTGCTATACGAGACGGTTCCCGCGTTTGAAGATACGTGGATAGAGTGTCTTGGTGATTTAGGGCGTTACAGGATGGCAGTTGAAGATGATGATATTCGAGATCGAGAAATTTGGACTGGTGTATCAAGATTCTGGTATACTAAGGCTTCGGATAAGATACCCATGACTGGACGACTTTATCACCACCTAGCGATTTTGGCACGACCAAATGCCCTGCAACAGTTATACTTCTATGCTAAATCCCTCTGCGTTCCAGTACCGTTTCTTAGCGCCAGGGATAGCGTCATGACGCTATTTGATCCTCTTTTAAATGCAAATCCAAGTGCCTCTCAACGTCTAGAGCCAGTTGATGTAGCCTTTGTGCGAGGTCATGGCATACTCTTCTCTGGCACGCATGCGGATCAGCTTAAGCCCTCAATGAAGCAATTTCTGGAACTTTTAGATAATCGCATTGGGAGAGAGCATGGAAATTGGCTTGAATCAGGGTAAGTGACGTCACTATGATAACATAAGATCTGCAAGCTAATTAGGCTAGGTATTTCATTGGCATCTCATTAAGCTGCCTGCTCCTAGGCTTTGGAGACACATCAAATGTCCTAATGAATGCTGTTTTAAAGAGTCAACAAACAGATGACACTGTAATGGATGATCTTCCAGACCCAGTGTTGACTGACGCATTCAAGACAGCGGTGGAGTTTACAGCTCGCACATATGAGATTGTTATTGCTCGGTGGGGTGACAAGAACACATTACCATGCCTTCATACCCTCCTAGTATTCTACTGGTTTATGATGGATTTTGAAGTAGGGAGACAGTACTTGGAGGACTCCCTTTCTTGGGAACAGACTGCTTTACTACTCAACTATCTATTACGGACCAGGGAGATTCCACCACGGTTAGATACCCCGGAAATTCCGTGGCCCGAGGGTGGTAAGGCGCATCCTCTTCCCGAAGACTATGCTATGCGTGGTCTAATCTATACGGGAACCTATTTTCCGAAGAAGTGGTTTGATGATACGGCGATTGATGATGACGAAAAATACTTTGAGCCTGCGTCGACCGTCGGTAAGCGTTGCGAAAGAATCCTGTGGCTTGGGCATAGCATTGCAATGAAGGAAAGACAGCTGCACTGGGATGAGCATGCAAGGCAGTTCTCTACAAAGGGGGGAAATCACAACGACAAGCCCAAAGCTGAGCCAGTTGAGCCAGTTGAGATGGCCGCGTCTGCTACTGATGGCGCATCGACCGAACTGGCAAACTTGTGAGGCAAATACACGTTTGAAGTTCGTTTGAAAGTCCTGAGTAATGTTGCTGGTAATAATGACCCGCCGGCAGCTAAAAAGGCGTTACGGTCCTTGCAGTGTCAGTATATGACAAGTTTTGGAGAGGTAATGGAGGAATGGAGGATGGAGGATGGAAGGACAGATGGCGGGTCCTGGTTTGAAGATGCGTCGACTTACTCATAACAGTAACACAAGGGCGGAGCTATCGGGTGAAATATGCTCGACAATCCTTTTATTTCTACCGGCAACTGGCAACGCAAGCTTCCTCTCATTGAGGCCAGCCTACTTGGACGAGATGCATTCGACTGCTGGTTATAGGAGTACCAAGATTGAAATTGCGCTTCTTATTTTGTGTTCTTTTTAAGACAAGATTGGCAGCGCCTGCAACACCACAATATGGATTACAGCGAGCAGAGGAAAAAAGGGATCGAGTTACATCAGTCATAGACCCTGATCTCTTCCAATCAGCATTGCGAATATGGAATATGTTCTCTCTCAACAGTGGATTTCTATTCTGCCAGTCATTTGCTAGCCATTCATTTGTTTGCTTATTTGCTTATGATTATTTACGAAATATCTTGTTTTATTCCTTCATTCCTTGGACTCTCCTGACGTATGGGGATTCGTGGAATTGCCGTCTATGTTGGGCTCCAAAATTTGGAGGCCAATTCGAGCAACACCTTTTCCCCCATATGTCAATTTGTCAATCCCCAAAAGGGAAAATAGAAAATCGGCCAATCGGGTCTTTAACATGAGGGTTGCACCAGGATCAAGACCAGCAACCTATAGGTTCGGGGTTGGGTTCTCAGTCTGGCAATACCAAACTACGCGAGGAGAAATGAGGCTGTCCTGTCACACCAGGCGACTGAGTTGCTCTGTGGGTGCGAGAAGACAGAGAGCATGACACATGACGCGATTTGATTCGACTTGAGCAAGCGCACGGCCGGCGAGTGAGCGGCCCGTCGGTTGGCGTCAGGGGGGATGATAGGGCTGCGCCTTGGAGGCCATGATGACGGACTTCCCGGAGGAGTACTGGCCACAACACATATGCGGTGGCCGAAGGCGGTTCTCGGAGGAAGCTTGTGCATTCGGGGTCTGAATCTGACAAAGTGGTCTGGTTGCTTCACTCGGCTGAGTTTGGACATGATGTCAGATGAGGCGGTGTGACCACATGACATTAGCCCCAACTAAGCGAAAAAAGAAACAGAAAAAAAAAGGCGACGGAAATAGATTGTAAGAAAGAAGGGAGAGACAACAGAAAAAGAAAAAGGCGCAGCGGATGTCTCAGAGCCAAAAAGGCTTGGCATGCACTTGAAGGATAATGGTAATAACCGAACGGGAATCTAATGGATGTAGAATTAATAGTTTGTACGATAATTCTATTGATTGCCATTCAGCCAAAGCGGTATACGGAGACGGATTGCGACATACAGGTCTGGTCCAGGTACACTTGACACGATTCCAATTCCAACCCCGATTCCATCCCGCATTCCACTGGTTCGCAAAAACGCAAGACGACGACACAAGGCAACCAACCCAAGCCCACACTGACCAGAATGGACATGAAAGATGGACCAGGGATCCTTGACCCCAGGTGGCTTGATTCCGACAGCTCGGGCACCCTCATTCACGAGAGCCGTGCACGCGGGTTGCAAAAAAGGCCGCACACCCCGCACCCACAACCACACACACAGGTGTGCGGCCTTTTTTGCAACCCGCGTGCCATGGACACGAGGCGATCACGGCTTCTCACCTGGATTGCTCGGACCGTAGGCAACAGCGGCGCCAAGATCAGCAAGTGGCCTCCTTGCCGCCAGCAAACATGAAGCGCAAGTCACGGTACCAGCAACGTCCGAATCAAGAACCAGCCGACGACGGCAAGTGGACCGTGTCGAGGAGGAAAAGCAGCCTGGACATTGATTTTGTCGACACAGACGCCCTGGCTCCACCGGCGGCGAAACAACGCAGGCAGATTCCACACGGTCCAACCGGCCATTGCGATGCGCATTACGGAGTACCTACCCCGTACTCGGTACTGCAGCAATGAATGAGGCAGTGCCTCTTTTGTCCCAGCCTTAAGTGCTGTTTGCGAAATTAGGCAGTAGTACCCTGTCCTGAGCAATAGCAATCGGTCGATCGTCACCTCGGCGGCACTGGCCTTCATTCCCAAGACACGAGGGCTGAGCAAGAGACTCGCCGCCTCGTCATTCCCGCGGAATGAGGCGCATGGACGCGTCCCGAGGCATCAAAACCGAGTACTACAACGCACGCATTACTCCCCATCGTCGCCTGTATCACGCCGTGCCAACAGGGAGCTCGGCTTGGCTGCAGGGTCCTTTTGCGCCCAGCCCTGTTTCGATGCTGGCCAGAGGGTGACGGGACGGGCCACCCAGCCATGTCCATGACGCTGGTGTGACTGCGACCGTGAGTTTCACGTCCCCTCTCCCAATACCGCAGTGGTTCATGTAGTACTCCGTAGTAAGAGTGATTTCTAAACAGGCATTGCTCGCGGACTCGTTACGTCGTCGATGACTTCTGGACCCTTCTATTCGATGCAGCCCTCGGCCCCCCGTCTATTACGTTGAAGTGAGGCGGTATCATTTGTTACTGTTTCTTCTTAAGACGCTTGGGTTGGACCGCCACTCGTGATGTTTGCCCCCCCAATGTCGGTCTTTTTTTTTTTTTTTTTTTTTTTGCTTGTCCTTGGCAACCTGGGTCGTATAAGGCAGACGTCGCCTGATGAGATAGCTCGCTCGATCATTTCATCTAGATGCCTTGTTGGCCCTTGGATACTACTCACCCGGCCGGGTGTGATGATGGGCTGAGAAAGACATACGACCATGGCGTCTGTGGGGGTTCCAAGACGCCATACATGGTGATGGATGGCAAAAAACGACATGACAGGCTACAGCAACGCATCACGACCTTGCAATGTCAACTGGCCGCGTGCGTCACGCGGGCATGAAAGTTTCAGTTACCCGCCGTTCGCGCGACAGCCTCACTTTCTGGGTGGGGGGTTGCACTGACAGGCCGTGGGTGCATCTGCCACGCTTGATGCTTCTCGAAACAGAGATCTTTGGCCGAGGGAAGTTGTTAGGGGGCTGGGAGGCTTTCTTTCTGGCGTGGTTGCCTTGCTATTTTACACGACCAAGTGGCTGTAGGGAGAACGATGCCAGAGGTGTTTGTGGCGTTCCTGAAACTATTGGCGATCCGAGATGCGCCAGAACCAACCAACTACAGCGTTCCGCTTGATGGAAATTACCTGTATCGACGCAGCCGAGTTTAGTTGGCTGTTGGCTGTTGGCTGTCTGTCGAGTTCCCTGCATGCATATGGACCAGACTGACAGCATGACGAGGTACACTCCCCCCTGCAAGGTGACTTGGAGATTACTAGCCACCGAAGAATATTGCCAAAAAAGGATATGGACAAGTATAGCTTACCTGGTGGCTTGAACAACACAGCTGGACCAATCAGCCATAGCCAAACAAAACTCGACGTCGAACAACCCTCGGCGCCCGGTAGAGTGGTTCAGACGCGGCGCTCGTTATATTGGACGGCTGAGGTGATAGGCAAAGGAGTCTAGGCCCCGAGGAAATGAGGCTGCCGTAACCTAAAGTTCAACTGAGCATATTCTTGTTGTTCTGGTAAGGATTCAAATCGCTGGGTAAATGCAGCCCTTTATGCTGCAAAGAAAAGCTACGCTCATTGGCAACATGCCGTGTGATGCGCCGAAGCCCGACGCCAAAGCATGCACAATGCATTGCATCCTGCCGTTACCTCTTATTTTGGCCCAACATGAGATAAAACAAAAAGAAAGGGTAAAAAGGGGGGGGACAACAGCCACGCGACTGCCATGTTCTATACCCTGTTGGTTGGGGATCGCAGCCGGTGCAGGACGGACATGGCTGGTAACACATGACCGTGGTTTTTCTTCTTTTGGGCGTCGTATTTTCCGTCTGTTGTTTTTGCTTCGATTTCGGAACCGGCACGTTCCGAAGGTAGATCCGAGACTCTTGTTGCCTGCCGCATCCGATAAGCCAGCCACGCATGCCCTGTCTGCATGACTGCTCGGGCCAAGGCACCTGGAACCTGCAGCTCGTCTGTACACACGTGTACGTACATACAGTTTTGCGGAGTAAAGAAAGTATGCAAATGGCGATTGGGTGTCTGACGTTGCAACCCCCCCTTTTTTTCTAACCGTGGAATCGATAGGATGAAAGACGCCGCGAGTTACTCCGTATAAGGATCGGGTACGATTGATGCGGCAGCAAAGCCCGAAAGAAAAGGAGCATACGATGCCCGAAAATGCGATTATGCAAAACGCAGGCATATGTGTGTCGACTTCATTGGTACGGGAACGGACCGTTTTGCACTTCTCTCGGCTCAGTCATGTCCGTATGCCGCCAGAGACAGGTGGGTGGTCCGGCGTTGACGATAATGGGAAGCCACTGTTTCCTCGGCAGCCTTGTTGCGGGTGATAGAGCACAGAGATGCAGCACGTCTCACCGGATGCTGGGTTGGGCTGCTGGGGGCTTTCTCCCCCCCCCCCCCTTTCCCCC